CCAAAACTTCGCTCCGCTAGCAGACTAGGATGCTCCGGCGGTGGCGGCGCAGCTCCTAGTACTTACAGTCGTTATGTTCGAACCCTTTATAGAATACCTCGCCAACCTCACATCGAAGGACTCAGTATTTGGCCAGATTGTAAGTGGCGTGCCTGAGAGTCTCCGAACAGGTAATAGCAGCTACTAGCATTACTGCTGGAGACGGTTATCGGCATCTCAGTGATCGTAGTGTTGATGTTCCTACACATCATAGCCTTGAGTATATGGGCATTAGTATTCATTAAGGACTGGTAATAGTGATACTACTACTATCGCTCATCATCATCAATATTTAGCTTTATCAAAGCCCCAAAGCCACCGGTACTGAGTGATGCTGAGACTTTGCATCATAAGAAGACTAAGTAGACTGTCGTGTACTGTGACCGTTTTTCCTAGTGCATTGGTGGGGTAGTGTTGGAGTGTTTACAGTACAATCCACAGAGAGTAGTTCATGTCATCTTATCCTGGTCCTGACGATGAGGAGGAAGATACCGAGGTTGTCGACTTGGAAGATACAGATGAGGTCGATGAGGAAGGATACGTAGTCGACGTGGATGATGAAGAGGATAAGAGCTTCGAGGAAGAGTTACATTGCTCTGTTGAAGTAGGGTTGCTCGGCATTGTTGTAGTAGTAGAGTCTCCCTATTAGGGCCTTGGATGCTGGCATACCATCGATAATGAGCAAATATATCTAGCACCTGGTGATGCTTTCGAGTGTATCAGAGATCTACTACGGGCATTTAGAGAGGAAGTTGGTAATAATAAGACTATCATTAGCATGGAGAGAGGGTAGTGGTTGTAGGTGCATCTAGACGAGTACATCGGTTACTGGGTAAATGGGGTGTTGTGGAGAAGAAGTTGGTACCAATGCTTATCAGTCATAGAGATGATTTGGATGATAAATGCTTCCAAATACTCAGGCTGATGGTTATCCTTACTATGCCTGTCAATAGAGGTAACGTACTGTACTTCATACTACTACTGTTTTATATCTAGTTGTAGATACTCCAGAATTGGATACTCATCTACAGTATTTACAGGGTTACAAGGCAGCTATCGGTCTTAATGAGGATGTACTCACTATATTCATGACTATATTGGATCAGTGTATAGGGGTCAGTCTTACTCAAGGACAATATTCAAGTAGTGGTGAGTCGCTGTTGGGCACCATAGCATTGCTGTTCTATCAGGTAGTAGTAGTAGCACACAGGAGGTGGGGGATGCCACCAAACGGTTGAGAGCTCAGCAGCAAGAATTGGTAATAATGATGCAGTTGAACTATGATTGATAGGCAACGAATATGAATCATTTTGATTATATGTTTACGATTAGGTTTTTACATTGGTGCGTAACCTATTGGAAATACCGGATCCTAGACCAGGGGATCCTGGTTTTAGCCCAGCACATAGAGATCTACAGATGACTATGCTCCAGGAACTGTACGAGTCCGGCTTCTTAGACTTCGCTGTGCTAGTTATGGAAGATGCACTAAGTACTCTATCATCATCATTATCATAGTATATCAGCTACCATTTAGATGGCCCTACTCCGACTATAAACAGGAATAAACAGCTACTTTGGCTGTATTTTGAGATACTATATCATGCTTGTGCTAAGATACGTCCCGTTGACCTGGTAGCACTGGTCCCTAAGTAGAGTGTTGTACCTTGTACTGTAGATAACGGTCGATGCTCGATTCAAACCAGATCTATCTGCCCTTATCAATCGTAGTATCCTTACTTATGCAGCATCACTACCCATCCTGACTAGGCATAATAGATTCGGCAAAAGAGTCGCTGTTAATAGTAATAATAAGGCATTATGATGATAGCCCTTACGTTGCCTTTACTCATCTCAGTGCCCGATGATGGTCCCTCTTCTACTAAACAACTGATGTAGTAAAGCTACTACGTGTTGTCTATGTATGCTAGTGTGCCCCTCTCAGAGCTGGTAGACAACGACACTACCGTAATAAGCTGGTAGATGAAGCTCCTAACGTGTTCCAGGTAATAGCTATAGTACTCAAAGGTACCCATGTTGTCCCACCCTTAGGATCGAACCTTCACCGATGTTGATGTCGGATCGAAGGTACCAGTAGTTGTTGGAGATGCTCCTGCTGGTCTGCTACAAGAGGTTATCTCAGCAGATGGCGGTATGAGTATCTCTAGTCATGACGAGTGTATATGCTTTGTAGGTGTGTCTATGATAAATCTAGCAGTATGGGAGAAGTTCCTCAAGAGCTTCGCCTCCTTCATAGTGGACATGATAGACCGAGTAAGGCATCACTATCCCTCTACATGTGTCTACTAATGTGTTAGGTGTTTGCTGGCATTATGGCAG